CCCCCGACCCCTCCCCACGTTGTGCAGGAGGCTTTGCCTCTGCTGGTGGTGGGGTGTGGGAAAGGAGCGCTAGGTGGGGGCCAGGAGCCTGTCCCACCTGGGGGGCTGCAGCTGCTCTGCCTTGGGCCCAGCTGTGGGGTTTTCTCACAGTGAGAAGAGGGGAACAACCACCTGTGGGGAATTGGGCGAATGAACTCGTGTACGCCAGGACATGGTCTACTCTACAACGATGAGGGAAGATTGGGCCAGAACAGTATTTAATGAGGAGAAATGCTCACCTTCTCTACTCAGTGGAAAAAAGCGGTAGGTACAGAATGATCCCATATTTGGACAGAGGAAAGACTAGACGGATGTTAATAGTTAATCATTTTCCTAGGAGGATCATGGTGACTTCTGTTTCTCTCCTTCTATTTTTTATTTCTGTGTTCTATAGCGAACATGTATTTGGTAATAAGAAGAAAAAAGTAGACACAGATAAGCATGGGTGGCCCAGGGTCCTTGGGTCACCTTTCCCAGTGAAAGGCTAAGACTCCCAAGACAGTGCTCCTTCCACTTGACCTACCTGCTGGGGTGACCTTCACCACGGTCCCCCTCACCTCCAGGCTGTGACCTCATCCCCTCTTCCCCTGCCCAGTCCTTCACACTGTTTTTCCCACCTTTTTTTACTTCCTCTTTGCTTTGAGTCTTCCCTGGCAGGGGCGGAGAACATTTCATGTAAGGGGAGCCGGGAGGGGAGAGTGGAGGGGTGGGAGCACCCCCCCCCATCCTGCAAGCCTCTGGCAGAGTTCACTTTTCATCAGGGGGCCACCTAGGCAGGCACCTAAACCTCTGTTCCAGAGTCTGGCACATAGGATGTGTTTGGGAAGTCATGGTTGAACGGAAGTTTGGATGCAGCCGGGGACTGGACAAGACGCATAGCTGTGCTGACCTTGGGCACGTCAGCATGCTTCTCTGGGCTTAGGGTTTTCGTCTCTAAGATTCGCAGAGGCTTGAGCTCTGCTTCCCCCCAGGCCCTTCCAGCTCCAACTTGCGGGGAGTCATGTACCTTCCCACTCCTGCCCCCTTGCCTGGTTTTCTAAGCAAGTTGTGCTGTCCAAGAAGACCCCACCTGTCTGTCCCAGCGGCCCTGGGAGGGTGTGTGCAGAAGCAGCTGCTCAGGGCTGGGCCTCCAGGCAAGGGCGGCGGGAGGGAGGGGACCCGTGGTGCTGGGAAAGAGAGTAGGCCTCAGAGCCAGAGGACACCGGACAGTCCCGAATCCGCTACTGGTCCCTCGTGAGCCCCGGGCAGCCTCTGTGCCGTCTGTGGGTCAGGTGTCTGCGGTCCAGCTCTCCTGGCCAGAGCTGCCTTTATCCCAGTCCCCCTGGGCGGCTTGGCGGCCGAAACCCCGCTTCCATCAGGCCCCAGCTGCCCGAAGTCTCTGGCCCTTTCAGCTGTTTTCCAGTGAGTGGCTCAGGGAGGAGGGAGGGTGGGAGAAATCCATTCAAGCCATTTGTTTTAAAGACATTTAAGTAAACCCATGGGATTTGTGTGGCCACATCTTTTCAGTCTTCTTTCAAAGAAATGGATGGGTTTCTGGGACTCTCCCAGCACCGGCTTCCCTGCCCAGCAAGTGCAAGAGGCCCGGGCTTCAGGAGGAATCATGGAGAGGGGAAGCCCAGCCAGGGTGGGAGGAGCAAAGGGGTGGGGGTGGGGAGGCGGGGGGCAACCTGAACTTGAGCTTCATTTCCCCAGCTGTGGAGGGGCTCCTGTCCAGGTAACGCCAAGGGTGTGCCTGCCCTTTGCACCCTCCCTGGCCCAGGGAGCCTGTAGAAATCAGCTTTGCCAGCAACCCAGGGGCAGGAGTTGGGAGCTAATGGTGGTGCTCGGCACACAGCCCTGCAAGGGCAGAGGTGAGGGAGGCAGGGCTCTGTGCTGGCTGGGGTCTGGCCCAGGAATAAGGTGCATTTGCCTCTGGGGTTCTGGGAGGCTTTCTATGGGGCAGGAGAGAACAAGCGAGCCTTACTTTCCTGCCTTTTTCTTCCTGGCGGTGATCTGTTCAGCCTCCAGCACCTCTGGGAAGCTTTCTCTGTCCACCGTGGGCTGATAGGTGTCCCCACTGTGGGGTCCCCAGCATCATAGCTTCATGGCCTCTGGCCTACGTGTGGGTTTCCTTCTGCACTGTGAGCTCCTCGGGGATAGGGCTTGCCACCTCCATGTTCTGATCCCCAGAAGCTCCTTCTTTTTTTTTTTTTTTTTTTAGATTATTTATTTGAGAGAGAAAGAGCATGTGCGTAGTGGGGGGAGGAGCAGAGGGAGAGGGACAAGCAGACCTGTGCTGAACACAAAGCCCAAAGTGGGGCTCCATCCCACGACCCCGAGATCATGACGGAGCCGAAACCAAGAGTCAGATGCCCAACTGACTGAGCCACCCAGGTGGCTCCCAGAAGCTCCTTCTTAAGGTCCCATTGAGTGGATCTGAAGCCCCATCTGGCAGTCCCCAGGCCCCGGGTCTGGTCTCCTGCCCTGGTCTCGGAGCCTACTGAGGCAGTGTGTGGCGGGGGGCATGCTCAGAACATCACTCTCCCCTCACTCTCCTCTCCTATGCCTTGGCCAGGAGTCAGGCTGGAAGGGAATGGGGTAATGGGGTGGACAGTGAGGCACCGGCCAGAATCTGCCGCAGGACAGACAGAGCCTGCAGCTGCCCCAGGCGGGATCTCGCAGACCCCCTCCCCTGCGCGCTCAGCCCGCAGCAATGAAGTGGCCGCTAACACCAACCGGTCTGGCTGGTTTGTGGGGACCTGGCCCGGTTTCTTGAGGGACAGGATGTCCTGCTGGGAGCAGCCTTTGTGCCTGTCCTTTCTGGCCTTCCCCTTTCAGGCTCTCAGGCTGGTCCTCTCCTGGCCTGTTCTCCTCACTGCCCTCTTGACCCTGTCCTCCTTGAGATGCAGGGCTGCATGTGGTGGGCGTGCCCGGGCAGGAGTCACGGAGGCCAGGGCCTCGCAGGCATGAGGTGGGGGTGTCCGTGCCCCTGACCCGGTGAGGCCCGGGGGTGCTGAGGCCCTGGCAGCAGGATACCCAGTGGCTGGGGGGACGAGTCCCAGGCAGGAGCTCCCATGGCTCGTGGAGGCCAGGCCCCCACCTCCTCCCGTACTGCCACGCCGAGGATAAGGGACCGGAGGCCTGAAGCGCCTGTAGGACCAGCGCCTTATGGCAGGGCTCCTTGGCACTGTGACTCCTCCCTGCCGCCACCGCCAGGCTCCCCTCTCAGGGAACAGGAAATGGGGGTGGGGGAGCCCGGGTGTTCCTCTCGCCCTCTGCCGGGAGGGGCTGGGTGCCCCACTCCGTAGGTGTCAATGGAACTGTCACCCAGCGGCGGGCGCCGGGCTGGGATTTCCCTGGCTGACTCAGCCCCGGCCTGGCTGTGCCGCAGCCTAGGCAGGAGTTACTTGTGAAGGTGTCTGAGTCGCTGCAGCGACTCGCACGGGGGAGTCCCGGGAGTAGGGGAGCAGGTCCCTGGGGCTGGCTGTGGGCAGGCCCCCCATGGGGCGGGAGACCCTAAGCTCTCCATCAAGCACAACAACCGGACTTCCCGACCCAGGAGGACTGGTGAGGAGGCATCTAGGGACCTGAGCACCAGCAGGGCTACTCCCTGCCTCCCTGCGAGAGTCTCCCCCCGCCCCGAGGGTGAAATGCCTTCCCTCCAGAGAATAGAGAAGCCATTGATTCCCTTGTTCCCCAGGCACTGCACAGACAGGCCCCAGTGGGGGGGGAGGCAGGAAGTGGGGCCAGCACAGTGACCCAGCCAGGGGCCAGGGACCCTTGGAGAAAGGGGAAAAAACCCGCAGCCCAGAGGAATTCACGTAAGTCTGCGTGAGATTTCCAGGCCCACAGACGCCCTGGAGCACATCTCGGGGCCCTCCTCGGCCCCAGCTGCTGGTGCCGCCCTCAGCTGAGAACTGGCAGCAGGGTGGAGTGTCACAGCCACGGTGTGGGGGGCTGGGGGCGGACCGTGCCGACGGAAATGTGGGGTGTGCGCCTCGCGAGCAGGCCTGTGGGTGGTGGCAGCAGAGCAGTGTAGGGCGGGCTGGGGGGGGAGGTGGGATGGGATGTGCAGTTCAGAACGATTGCCCCAGAGTCTCTGCCTTCCCCTTGTTGATGGGAGGAAGAGTCACCCCCTGACGTCTGCAGGCTGGAATAGCGGAGGCCTGGCAGCTCCCCAGGGGCAGGCTGCTGCGGCCGAGGTTCACAGGGTGACATTTGGGCCCCTGGCCCAGCTCAATCTCAGCGGACAGACGTCTCAGTCCCCTACCCGCTGCCTGGCCTGCTGAGAAGTGGAGCCATTTCTGTGGGCCAGGTACCACGGGGCAGCCCCAGTGTGTCTGATGAACAGGCCACTTAAACCCCTGCAAGCATGCCTGGCCCCTTTGGCCACACTAGTCCCTCCACGAGCAGGCACAGGGCAGGGTGGCCCAGGGAAGGAATGTGGCCTGTGGGCCCAGCCTCCCGAGTGACAGGGTGGGGGGCACAGCCAAGGGGGCGGGGCAGCAGTGAGTCTGACTGGCAGTGGCCTGAGCAGGCAGCGTGGACAGGCAAGGTGCGGGGGAGGCCTGGCCTGAACCGCCGTGGCCCTTAAGGCAGGGCCAGCCCTCTGAGGGCAGCGCTCTTTGAAGGACAGAGGACAGCCCTGCCTGGGAGCCTGCCAAGGGCCCGGGAACTGGGCAGCGGGGCAGAGTTCCAGGTTCTGCTCCTGGCCCACGGCTGACCTCAGCGTTGCCTAGGGCAGGGGATCTGCATCCTTGGCCCTTACCTTCCTTCCTAAAATGATTGTATGTGACTCAGGGGCCCAGAAGGTTCCTTCATACCCAGATGTTCTCCTGTCATTTACTGAGCCCCCAGCATTAGAGAACAAGGGAGGGCCCCAGAACTTTGTCCTGGCATCTAGGTGGCCAGGCACTTAAACTGAGGAGCACGACAGTGATCCCCCCCCTTGGACTCTCTGTCTCCTCCTCCCTCCTCTCCAGGATGATGGGACAAGTCAGATGATGGCCCAGAGTTCCTTCAGCAGATAGTTGGGCTGGAATCGTACCCTTATTATCATCATTATTGTGGCGTTGGCTCCCTAAAGCCTGCAGGGGGGCTCCCTGGAAGAGGCAGCATGGCTTGTGTCCTGGGCTGGCTTCCTGGCCCCATGGTCAGGTGAGTGAGTAATGAGAGGTCAGAGGGGGGCAGCCGGGGGCTCCGGGTGGGCAGGAGGGGTCCCTGGCACCTCTTGGGCTTGGCTAAGCCACCGGCTCCCATCTGCAGAGGGGCGGCTCCCCCTCCCTGAGTTGGCGGGGAGACCTCAGAACTGAGGAGTGCCTGTCCCCAAACATCTTGTTCACAGCAGATGGCAGCCGCAACTCCCTTTCTCCTTGCAGTGACAGTTGCATTTCCCGTCCCTTTGCTCACCCCTCCTGTTAACTTTTGTCTGCTTTCCAAGTTGGGGAGGCAGCCTGCAAGGCCGCAAAGCCACCTGTGACTGTGGGTGAGGCTAGGTGCTCAGATCAAGTCTCCAAAGGAGAGGAGATCTCCAGCCCCCATCTGTTTGTCAGGGAAGCTCGGTCTTGCCCTGGTTCTCAAGTGCTTAGTCTCTAGAGGCCGCAGCCAGGGATCCGCAGCCACAGGATCTCAGAGGAACGAGGGAGCAGGCCCAGGGCCTGGTCTGACATTCTTTTCTTTTTTTCTTTCTTTTTTTTTCTTTAAAGATTATTTATTTGAGAGAGAGAGAGACTGAGAGAGAACATGACAGGAGAGAGAGTCAGAGGGAGAAGCAGACTCCCCACTGAGCGGGGAGCCCGATGTGAGACTCGGTCCTGGGTCTCTGGGATTATGACCTGAGCCGAAGGCAGTTGCTTAACCGACTGAGCCACCCAGGTGCCCCCTGGTCTGACATTTCTGGGGCAGCTGCAGAGCACCAGGCCCTGAGCTGGGTGCCGAGGATGCAGGCAGAGGGTGCAGCCCTGCCCTCCGGGAGCTCCCAGCATGGTGAGGAGCCAGGGTACTCAGGGGAGGGGTGGAGGGACACCGATCTGGTCTGCTTCGGAGTTCGCAGGCTTCTGGAGGCTTCACAGAGGCTGTGGTATTTGGGCTAAGCCCTGAAAGACTGAGGAGTTCCCAGGCGAGCAGGATTAGAAAAGGCATTCTGTGCAAAGGCACAGAGGCATGAAGTGCTCTGACCCCGCAGAATGCTTGGCTGTGGCAAAAAGCAGAGCAGATGAAGGGCAGGCTGCCTCATCAGCATGCGCCGTTCATCACTAGGGGGGATCTGCAAGGGGAAACCTCGCTCCCCTGACCAGAAGCCCTGTATAGGGAATAGGGGTGGCACAGGCCTGGCTCAGCTGCAGGGATTCTGGGACCTGGCTCGTGGCTGCACTGAGTTGGGGCCCACAGGAGCAACCCCCTGCTGCTGGAGCATCCTCCCCTGGAGAAATCTACCCTGGAGGCTGAGGCCAGGGGGTCACGGAGTAGCTGAGTGAGTATGCCCTTGGAGGGTGAGGTGCCCAGGCTTCCGGAGTGCCGCCCCATGTTCTGTGACCTGCCCCGGCTCTACCCTACGTCCGTGTGACACTGGGCACAGCATCCATGTATTGAGACCCTCATCTATGCCAGACTGTGCTCGAAGTGTTTCCCATACAGACCTCGTCCCATTTAACCTTCCCAAGGGCCACTCAGATGGGCACTGCTAAATGCCCCAGCCAGGGACATGACTTGTTCAGAGTCCCCCAGCCAGGACGTGGCCAAGCAGAGGCTCCAGGCCCAGGTCAGCCTGACCCTCCTCAGCACACCTCCTTCTGGATGACGTACCCTGTCCCCTAGAGAAGGCTCACGGTGCCTGGGGGGTTGGCACCCAAACATGATAAGCCCGGCTCCCTGAGGACTTGTGCCCTGCCCATTCGCCCCTGCCGCTGCCTCCCCCTCTCCTCACGCTCAGGTTCCTCCCAGGGGCCTCAGCAGCAGCTGCGGGCAAGGCCACCGTGAGCAGCCGAGTGCCATCCTGTAGGGCAGCAGGCCCAGCAGAGGAGTGGCCTGCGGTGTTTGCTTTTCCCAGCCCTGCGTTTGCTGTGTCACTCACACCTGGCTCACTCTTTGCCCAAGGATTTGCCCTCCAGGAAGATGGGGTGGGGTGGGGTGAGGCTGGGCAAGGGTGGCAGGCAGGTGGTCGGCCGCTTCTGGGCTTCCAGCTTTTCTGCATGACCAAGGAGGTCCGCACTGCCCATAAGGGCCAGCCCTCCAGGCCCGCTGCTGCCCCAGCAGGGCCTGGCGTCGCCCGCGTGGAGCACGTGACTCGGCAGTGCCGGGCCTCGCATGCCTGGCGTGCCAGGGCGGTGGTGGCCGCAGCAGCTGGACAGGCGGCAAGGAGCAGAAGAGGTCCCCCGAGCCCTTATGTGGGGCACTGGCCTCAGAGTGTGGGGGCGAGGGGCGGCATCAATGGGGCTTTTGTGTGACTGGGCAGGAGCACGGGCCGAGCCAGGAGCATCCTGCTCAGGCGCATTTGCCCCCTTCCTTCTCGGAGCTGCTGCTGCTCGGGGGGGCCCCCCGCCTGCCAGGGGGGAGCTTGCCTGGACTCAGCCAATCCCTGCCCTGCCCTTCTCCCCTTTTCAGATGAATCAGCCCCAGAAACCTGACGATTTCTTCTGGGGCCCTGGGCCTGCCCCTCTGCCTGGCCTCCTGACAGCAGGCTTCCAGCGCCCTCTCTCTGGTCCGACTGAGCTCTCTGCTACGTGGGCAGTCGCTGACCGGGGAATGTGCTGCTGCCTCCTTGAGGCCACGGACCTGCTCCTCGCAGCTGACGGGAATAGATTAGGTAGACAGAGGCAGGCTGGATCTGGCATCCCAGGGAAGAGGCCCTTTCTTCACTGCAGCTGGGACCCCAGGCAGAGGCCTGCCTGCATCAGCTGGCGGGGAGCCAGCACCTCCCTCCTGGCAGTCCTGCCTCTGGTCAGCCTACCGAGTGGCTCTGGTCCTGCGAGGGTGAGGAACCTCGGCATGCCATGGGGTGTCCAGCCTGCTTTGCACTGTGGCCTTTAGCAAACCCACTGCTCCGGCCCGTGGTCTCCCCGCCACTTGGTACCTGTCAGACAAGCTGTGAGGACAAGCAGGCTGTCACCAAGAGGCTGCGTGGCCCCCTCCATGGGCAAAGAGCTCTGTAAACAGAGAGCGGCCGAGAGAAGGCTTAGGGACAGCCTTCCCAGGTGGGCACAGCTTGCTGGAGGTTGCCTGGTCACTCCCATCCTGGCCCTTGGGGAGCTGGCCGAGTGCGTCTGGCTCCTGGCTGTGGGGAGCCCAGTTCCCTCCACCACCACCTCTTAGCTGGGGAGGATGACAGATGCAGAGGAAGGCAGCGTTGGTCTGCTGTAACTTGTTTAGGTCACTGTGGCCGCCAGGCCCTGCCCAGCCTTCCCTCCAGCAGGTCAGGGATGGGTGCCCGCCCCAGGATGGACAGTCCTTGTACCCCACCTGCCACTCCTGCATCAGCAGTAATGACCCCGATGTGTATCATGCCCCGTACCCAACTGTTGCTCCTCACGGCAGCACTGTGGGTCTGGTACCTGGTGACCCCGTTCACGGGGAAGGGAACACCTGTCTGTGTCGTACTCTACCTCACATCGCTCAGATGCTATTTATCCCCCTTTTACAGGAACTGGGGTCCAAGGGGCTGCGACGTACCCACATGTATTCATGGCTGGGCCCAGGACCAGGCCTGGATTCTCGGACACCAGGCTCCACGCATGTCCCACTCTGGCTCCTGCAGTAAATCGAACTGCTAATAAATGAGCACATTGATACATAATTAATCCCACCTTGGATCCCTCTGTTCTTTTCTCTCTGGGGAGCTCTGAGCACTTCCCAGACGTGATCTCATGCATCCTCCCGAGGCCCAGAAGAGGTGAAAGGAGGTTCTGTGTAGAGGGCGGTGGAAGAGCCGGCACAGGGGGCTGCGCGCGTCCAGAAACCAGCCCCCTCCCCCGTCTGCGCTGCCCCTGCCTCTGGTCCCTCCAGGGTTGTGCCTGCGTGAGCCAGGAGGAGAGAACCTGGCGTTAGGCCCCCGGGGACAGGGATGTAGAGGCCCAGGGCTCTGTCTTCAAGGGAAGTCATCCCGTTGCCCAGGCTTTTTATAGAGTTTTCCTTCCAAGAAGCCCCCGCTTCTTCCTGTTTGCTCTCACACTCCTGGGAAGTTGGCAGAGAGCAGATGAGGGTCACGGGGAGGGAGGCAGAATGAGGACCTGCAGGGCAGGCCCTTTACCAAGCCATCTGCTCCCCAGGTGGCCCAGGAGGCAGCCCCATTCTCATCCGCGTCGTCTGGAGAGGAACCCAGGTGGAGAGACTTCCTGCGGTCACTCGGTCACGGTCATGGGCAAGTCAGCGACTGGTTAGGTTTTGAACTTCGTTCTGGCTGACCTCACAGGCTGGTGCCCGTAAACTGCTGGGCTGTAGTGTGGCTGTTCTGGCCCATTCTCCCTCCCAGGGCGCTCTGAGCCTTCCGAGGGATCGCATTCCGGAACCGGAGACTGAAGAGCCTTGGAAATTGAGCATTCAGGGGACTAAACAGGCGAGTCCTAGGGAAATTGGAAATGATCTGGTCACTCACCTTGTTTTCGGATGAAGATGCTGAGGCTCTAGGAGGGGAAGCCAGATCCCCCCTTTTCTTCTTGCTGACACCCAGGCAGGCTGGATCTGGGCTATAGGCCACGAGGGTTCCACGGGGAACCCTGTTGCTGGGAGAGGGAGCACCCATGGAGGTGCTCCCTTCCTCCCTGCCGCGTGCTTGTCTCCCTCCCGCGGGCGGCGAGGGAGAGCGGGGCGTGGAGGTGCAGAGGAGCCCCTCAGACGGCAGGCCTTGGGCATTGCTCTGCCGCTCTCTCTGTGCCCCCTCAGGCAAGTCACCCAGCACCCCCTTCCTGCCAGTTTTCTGCATCCGTGAAACAAAGATGCCGCCTCCCCCTGCCTCACCCGTGGCGTGGTCATCAGGGGCGGGAAGGCCTGGGTGCACCTGCTGCTGGAGGAGGGCAGTTCTTGGATCCAGCCAACGGGGCCAGTGGATGCTGTGCAGAGGGCCCGGGGCTGGAAGGCAGGAGCCCTGGGTTCCGGGCTGGGCTCTGCACAGGCTCCCTCAGCCTGTGCTCTGGCCCAGCTCCTCCTCCTGCAGCAGCAGGGACTCAGTGGGTTCCTGCCTCCTGCAGGGCCCCTGCCCCAGGAGCTGCACCCTAGTGGCGGGGGGGAGGCAGGTAGTAACGAGGCTGACAGACAATAAGGCCGAGAGTGCTAGATGCTGGCGAGTGCCCAGAGCAAAATGCAGGAGGAACAGAGAGGTGATGGAGAGGGACAGGGATGGGCACAGCTGAGATAGGGCAGGCAGGTCAGAGGAGCGAGGTTTGAGCTAGGAACTGAGTGGTGGGACAGAGCCAGCCACGCAGAGATGGCAGGGGCGGGGAGCATGTCCAGGCGAGGGGAGGCCTGAGGGCCTGGATGTTGAGACAGGGCACACTTGGCTGCATGAGGGACAGAGAGTAGGCCCGAGCATTGGGGGGTGATCTGCAAGGGCGGCCTGGGAGGAGGTGAGGGCAGGCAGGCCAGCAGAAGAATCCCTATCTTCATTTTCTAAGTGGGGAGACTGGAAATGGTGGTGGGGGGTTGACCAGCAGACAGACATCCTCTCTCTGAGCCTCTGTTTCCCCTCTTATGTGGGGTTGGCATCGGCTCTGAGATGTCCCCTGCCTGGGTTAAGGCCCCTCCCCGTGGTCGTATTTGTGGTCAGAGCTTGGTGGCAGGAAGAATAAGGGGTTGAATATTCAGGGGAAACGCCTCCAACCTCAAGCTCAACACCGGCACCCTGAGCAGTGAGAGAAGAGCCTAGTGACTCCCCTTGAGCAGGTGTGGGCTGGCCGGACACCGGGGCCTGCCGCCCACCTGAGGGCTGGACCAGACTGAACTGGAAGTCCAGGAGAGGACGTAGATGTTGGGGTGGGGCAGGCTGCCCCAGGCCTGGGTTCGAATGGTGCTCCTCCAGGGTCAGGGGAAACCAGAGCACCATCCATCCTTCCCTGTCTGCAGGGAGAGAGAGGCTCCTGGAGTATGATGGCCTCCGGAGTCAGGATCACTTGGTGTTTGTCCAGTTACACAGACCATCTGGCTGGGGTGTCCTTGACAGCACCCTCTCCCTTACTGCCCCGTCCCATCTGTCACCACTGCCTGCTGAACCTCAGTGTGGGCCCCCACTTCTCTCCAGCCTCATGCCTGCTGTGGCCCGTGGTTGCCCTCTGTTCTCCGGATGAAGTGCAGACCCCCTGGGCCCACTGGCCTTTCCACCTCGGGCCTCCTTCTTGCTTCTATCCCGTTCATCTGGTCTCCGCTCGGTCCTTCCTCCTCCTCCTTCATGGGCCTTCCTGCTGAGGGGCGTCCTCTGTGTTGCCCTCCCCTTGTAGCCTCTTTCCTTTGGCTTGTCCTACAGACTGCTCCCAGTTCTTAAGGCAGCCGGTCCTCACCTCCTCACTCAGGCTCTGACGGGTCACCCCCTCGGAGCACGCGTCATGGCATTTTCCCTGGCCGTATGTGAAGATTAGCTTCAGGTCTTTATTTTTTTCTGGCCTGTGGGCTCTGAGAAGGCTGGCCCCACATCAGCCCCTGGTGTGTGGCAGGTACTCTGATGACTTGCTCGGTGGATGGAGAATGGCCGCGTGCACGCATTTCATTTTAATTCGATGTCCCCTGTATTTGCACCACCTGGAGCCCACCCCTGGAGCTGTTCCTAGTCTTTCTTCCTTTCACATCCTCCCCTGCCCCAAGGCAGGGAGCCTGGAACCAAACCCTGGCCCTGTGGGAGGGTTGGGGGTCCTCATAGCTGCTGGGCCCAGGGCCACCTCCAGTCTTGTGCTCCTGGGCTGGGCAAGCAGGGGGCTTGGGGCCTGGGCCTGTCAGGGGTCTATCATGGAGAAAAGGGTCCTCTCAGAAGCATGCTAGCGGCTGGAAGAATGAACAAGGGCCACACATTCTAGTAGAGCACTATCAGGGCCACTCCAGGAGGCTTCCAGGGTGACGAGAAGTTGGGAAACCAGGTAGAATCTTGGCATCACAGTGGGCCCAAGGAAGTGGGGGAGGGGGCGCAGGATCAGGTGGTTTGGGGACCTTCTCCCCTGAGCTTGAGGCCAGAGGTGGGTGGTGTCGGGGCCGAGCTGGGAGCCTTAGGCACAGCATCTCCTTTGCAGGCTGGCCAAGCCTTTGTTCTGCAGGGACCTGGTGTCCTCAACACTTGCCATAAAATGGTAGAAATGCTGGTCTTAGCAGACTCGGGGCTGGAAGCCATAGCTGTCCCCCTCGGTGTTGGGGCTTTCCCGTTCCCGGCCAGGGCCCCGCTTGGTGTCGGTGGGCTCCCAGGCTGCCAGGATGTTCTAGTCAGACAGGCTCGGTCTAACACCGGCAGGGAGGAGGCGCCCAGGAGGCCCCAGAGCCCACGATTCTAGGTCACCTCCTGCAACATCTAGAGGCAGGAGTGGTATTTATAGCAGCCAGTGGCCACCAAGGGCGGGGAAGTCAGCAGGAACTGTGATGCAGGCCACCCCCCACCAGGTCCCCTAGCTCACTGCCACCCCGCACTCCGGAGCCTTTCTGGGACGAGCGGTGAAGGGCTGGGCCTGCTGTGAGAGCAGGCATCGTCACCCTGCCTCCCCAAGCCCTGGAGGAGATGAGGTGCCACTTTCTGCCTGGCAGGAGCCTTGGCCTCTGCCTGTCTGGCCAGGACCTTGTCTGTCTCCCTGGTCCCAGGTGGGCATCCTGTTAGCACTCAGTGTCTGGGCCTGCTGCTGTCTCCTGGTGCCATCAGCTCTCTGTTGAAAGGTTCATCCTTGGAGTCCCCAGCAGCTTTGCCGACCTTCCTGGGGCCAGCAGGGGTCTGTGAAAGGCCTGCCTCATTCCTCCTGTAGCAGGCAGTTCATGGGGCCATGGACACCTGCCCCACGGTGACTGGGAAGAGGCCCTACCAAATGCCTGTTACCTCCCTGCTGTGTCCTTGTTAAGTGGGCTAGAAGGGTGGCAGTCGCAGCCCGTGGTCACCAGCACTGGGCTGGGCATGCAGCCCTACCTAGCTCCACCTCCTGCCACACCCAGGGAGCAGGCAGGGAGACAGAGGCCACGGAAGGGACAGTGTGGCAGGGTCAGGCCTCAGGCCCTGAGGATGAGTCCTCTGGGAAGGAAAATGACGCCAAGCCCTGGAGTCCGAGGGCAAGCTGGCCGGGCCCTGCGCTCTTGGAGCCTTTCCCTACCCAGATACAAAGCGGGTCCTTTGGTCCTGCCCCGGCGTGAGCAGACAGAAGAAGGCTGATGTTTGTCAGCTGCCTGATGCGGTTACCCCCAGAGTGGATGCCTGGGCTCCTCTCCCAGGCTTACCCCATTTCCAGACTGCCCACAGCCTCCAGGCCCATCCCCCCAGGCTGGAAGAGAGGCAGGGGGAGCTGAGATTTCTCCCTGGGAGCACCCGCAAGCAGGAGAAGGTGCAGCAGGCAGGCCAGGAGCCCGCAGGAACATGGGCCCTGGCTCCCCTGGCCCGTGGGAGGCTGATCAGGCAGGACAAGGGCTTACGGCCAACCGGGGACAGGCCCTGAGCGTCACTAGGGAGGGGCCCCTGAAGTGAGTGGGCCATCTGGAGAGGAGGAAACCCCTGGGCTTGCTCAGTTCTGAGCGGATGAGAGACATAGGAGCAGGAAATGGGCTAGTCCGATGGGCAGGGATGGAAGGGGGGGCAGTTGGTGGAGAGCTTTACAGCCAGTGGTTGGCAGCTTTAATCTTATTTAAAGGGCATTTC